ATGAAACAAAATTGACTCGTGTTAAGTTCCGTTTGTTATATATCGTTTCGATTACATTTATTTCTTGTTCTCACTCTCGGATAGCCTCGATTCTGTACTTTCGAATACTTTCACGACCAACGGGTTTAGGACATCAGGAAGGAAAAAGCAGGAAACTTACGAAGACAATATTACATACGTATAAGTGACTAAAACCTGCTCGCCTCGATGTATGTATGTACGTACTATTAAATAACACAGACTACAGCGTAATTTTGCCAGCTTTCGCGCATCGGCATCGGTTATGTCTCCGTTACTTCCTAAAACTATTACGTGAAAACTAACGAATAAACGAACAAAAAAAAAGAAAGAATTAATACGAAATGAAGTAAAAATAACTAAATAACTGAACGAAATACTCGTTTTAAGAGCATGAAACAAACGAAATACGAGATAGCGAGGAGAGAAATACGAGAAAAGTAAGGAAAGAAAAAAAATTGTTAATGATTGTTGATGCAACGATTTAAAAAAAAAGTGAAAAAAAAAAATAATGAGCACCGTACGATGCCTTCCGTGAACGACCGAGCTTGCCTAGTTAACCGAGATATAAACATAGAAATTCAATGATTCGATCTCGATATGAATTCTCTCGTCGAAAGTAACGTTATCCCCGCGATGCTTCTCCCATCTGTCGAACAGTTGTATTCCTCTATTCACGGACAATAAAAAAATTAAAGCGAATAAACGGTGTGCCATAAACTATATATACATACATATAGTAGAGAATCTTCGTAAAGTTACAAAGAACAATTTAAAGAAACAAAAAAGATACCGTTACGTAGAGTTATCTTCGTTACGAAGGTGTTACGAATTCCACGAGAACGTGTATTGTGATTTTTGTCTGAAGCGAGAAGCACGCGGGAATAATAGAAATGTTTTCGCTTTAAGCTGTACTCGACGAACACTGGTGGTTATGCCATCGAGCTTTCCATGACTACGTTACATAAGCACCAGAATCGTGCGTGTGTGCGTGTAAAGCGTATGCGTGTATTGCGTGTATGTTCACCAAGGAAAATACTCGGAAAAAGAAAAAAAAAAACATACGGCAGGACAATAATAATACCGTTTCTTTTTAGAGGTTAGAAAGCGTAAGAAGCATTAATTACAATAGTATGTATATATATGTATATATATACATACGTACATCATAAGTATGGAAAGAAAAGAAGGATAAATTTGCTAAATGCAGGCCTGCACACGTACGCACACACGCGCGTTCCTTGTGCTTTGTGGGCACGTGTGTGTGTACACGGCGCAGCATAGTATGTACATAGGTAATACACTCGTAAGGTTACATTTAGTCGCCAGGAATAGAGCGATACGGATGTTATTGTAACAGTGAAGTGTAATATGCGGTAGATACTTGAGAGGACAGTGGGGGGAAAAAAAGAGATGAAAAACCGGAAGGTTCCAGCTGCGTAGTGGTTGCAGTGCCTTCTCCGGGTGAAATGATCTCGCCAATGTTGAAGCGAGCGGTTGCAAAGCAGCTCGGGAAGCAAATTGCACTGTGTAACATTTAGAATTGTAAATTCGAATGAGAAAAATTTCTCGAGTGGGAATTTTTACAATTGTACAGCTTCGTTC